CCAGTCCTCTTCAAAAGCAGTGGCACTCTTACAAGCTAAGCCATCTCTCCAGGTATAGGCGTGAACAAGGTAAACCAAAGCTGACAGTACTGTACACGTCCATAGATACCACCGTTCTTTCCCAGGTCAAAAGCCACTGCTTACCTCTAAGTTGCCCATCCCTGGTGTCTTCCACTCACTTCACATAGCATACCTGGATCCAAGCAAGCTGGCCAGTATAAAAACTGACAGGATGGTAGCATTCCTAGAGAAGGGGGTAGCAAAAAACAACACTAAGACTCTGAGTGACACATCCCTAGTTCCTAGATGTGGAGGTTTGGACAAGTAAAGAAAGCATAAATGGCAATCAAAATGTCTCACTGGATAAATGCTTGCCACACAAGCTTCATGATCCCTGGAACCCAAATAAAGGTGGAAGGAGAGAATTGATTCTACACAGTTGTCCTCTGCCTCTACATATGTTCTGTGACATGTGGGTACATGCATGTTCGGTTAGATTGTGGGTTCTGTGTCCAAACCCCCCCCACACACACACAAGGGGATAGGCGACTGCTTGGAGAGGCAAGATGCAATATGAAATACGGTTTGAGGTCCCTTGGGAAGCCAGAGCTCTTGGCTTGGGAGTCCTGGGGCCAAAAGGCAGCCAGGGACCAGCTGGTTCTCAGGCCCTTGGGCCCCCAGGAGCCACTGGGGGGCTGTGGATGAAGTGGGGGCATTCGGGCTAGACTGGCCCACATCGGAAGGAGAAATGGGGAAGAGAAGCTCTGGCTGTGTCCGGTGGGGATGAGAGTTCTTGGTCACAGTTGGCTCAGCTTGCTTGCTTGTGTTGGGTGGTCTTCATAGCTGGGAACATAGAGAGTTCTTCTGTGGGAGATTAGGTGGCGGCTCTGTAGATGAATCCACGGTGGATTTCAATGAAACAGAAGCTGTCCATGGTCTTAAGACATTTATTGTCATGGTGGAAAGTAGTGAAAACTACACCCCAGTTTCTTCAGGCAGGCCTGATGTTAAATATCTTTTGCAAGGAGGAGGGTCTGGGAAGAAATGTTTAATTGGCTATGCCCCTTTATCCTTTAGGTACCTCATTAATATGGAGATCTGTCTTGAGGCTCTATAGCCTGTAGTCATGCCCTCTACCTGTGGAGAGGCTAGTGGGCATTGTCCTATGTGACTGAAAGACCCAAATCTATGGAGATCTAAAATGCCTGTCGTCTCTTGCAGGGGACCATGCCAGTCTCCAGCAATTTCCAGTTGGTACTCAATCAGAACCAGGTTGGCTTTCATTGTCCTACACACACACACACACACACACACACACACACACACACACACACACAAATATAACAACTACACTGTTAAAAGTATAAATGTAATAAATTTGAATATCTAAGTGAAATAGATAATTCTATTAGAAATGTAAATCAGGGCTGGTAAGATGGCTCATCAAATAAAAGGAATTTGCCACCAAACCTGGTGACCCAAGTATGATTTTCCTGGGACCCACATGGTAGAAAGAAGAGTACCAACTCCTACAAGTTGTCCTCCCTTTTCCGCACAGGTATTCTGGCATGTGTACTCCCACCTTTATACAATAAAGAAATTAAAATGTCATCAATCAACTACCCACTGTTTCTGTACTTGTGCACTTCAGCAGGGAAATCTATTGTTATTTCATGACCAAAACAAGGATCCCAGTACAGGAAACTGACCCTTAAGTAAAGTACAGGATCACGAGCAGGGCGGTAGTGGCGCACGACTTTAATCCCAGCACTTGGGAGGCAGAGGCAAGTGGATTTCTGAGTTCTCGAGAGACCAGCCTGGTCTACAGAGTGAGTTCCAGGACAGCCAGAACTACACAGAGAAACTCTGTCTCGAAAAACCAAAAAAAAAAAAAAGTACAGGATCACTTAGGTACAACGAACATGAACCTCTTTCATGTTTGGAAATTTCTTTAACTTAGTATCTCTGAAAAAAAACAACATGCTCCCTATTTTAGGAGTTGAAAATAATGAAAATTTTCCCTTCCTAGGCTTTCTTGGCAGTTGGGTCACAGGCATATGACCAACCAGACTCACATCCAGGTTTGCCTTCATTCATAATCACAAAGAGGGACAGTATGGGAATCTCTGCAGCACTGGAGGTTGTGGAACGGTATCTGGCTCAGTGGCTGGGCCGAGGCAATCTTCAGTGACCTGGTCTTGCACCATGGTCAGTTATGCTCGACAGACTGGTTCTACAACATGATTCTGGGCACTGTTCCTGGCCACGTAATTCCATGTCTGGCTTTTCTGCCCAGAAAATCTTTGGGGTAGCCAATGTTGTTTTGTTTTCATTTGGGGATTGAGATAGAATCTTATTATGTAGTTCTGGCTGGCCTCAAACTCATGTAGCCCAAACCAACCTCGTTTTAGCAATCCTCCTGCTTCAACCTCCTCACAATTGCTGGGATTACAAGTATGCATCACCACATGCAGTGTTTTAGAGATAGGGTATTGCTATTTTGCCCAGGCTGGAGTTGAACTCCCATCTCAGCCTACAAATTAACCAAGGCTACAGACATGTAGCTCACTGCTTGGCTCTAGTCAATACTACTTATTTTTACAAAAGTTCTGGGATTAAAGATGTGCAGCATTGTCTCTGGCCTAATGTTTTCCTTTCCTATGACTTATATCTGAAAACAGATCCCAATACAGTAGAAAAAACATCTTCATGGCTGGGCAGTGGTGGTTCACACCTTTAATCCCAGCACTTGGGAGGCAGAGGCAGGTGGATTTCTGAGTTTGAGGCAGCCTGGTCTACAGAGTGAGTTCCAGGACAGCCAGAACTACACAGAGAAACCTTGTCTCGAAAAACCAAAAAAAAAAAAGAAAGAAAGAAAGAAAGAAAGAAAGAAAGAAAGAAAGAAAGAAAGAAAGAAAGGAAGAAAGAAAAACATCTTCAGAGGTTCACCATGATAGCTTCCACCAATGCAACCTATTGTCTTATCTCCTGATACTTAGTTGTTTCTTGTAGCAAATTATGCAAGTGGCAAGTTTGCAAACAGATACATCTGGCTTGTGTCTACCCAATGTCTAGTCATCAGCAGTAAGCAGAGTGGCATGCTCATGTACATGATACCCCTTCTGGGTAGGCAGGATCTTTAATCATTAGATGGGCCAGCGGCCCCACAGACAAGATGGCTGATTTTCTGTAACAGACAACTAATCCAGGCTTGCAAAATCAAAATAGAGTTTCCAGAGGAATAAATTTTGAGCTGGAACTTGCCAGATATGTAAGAGTTAGGAAGAAGACATAGATTGAAAGTTCAGTATGAGAGAGAACGATCAGGAGAGGGGAAAGCACTAAACAATGGGGCTGGGCAGGTAGGTGGGCATGTTTCAGATCTTTAGGGCCCTGAAGGCCCTGTTTAGGTACTTCAGATTGCCTCCTGAGAGCTCTCAGGAGGCACTGATAAGTTTTAGTAGTTGACAGATTAGCAAATTTGCAGTTCTCCCATGGGAAATAGGAAGTCAGAAAATTTAGAAACCAACCAGAAGGCTACTGCAGCAAAGAAGACAGTGTCTTGGACTGGAGAGTAGAAGATGGAAGGAAGGACATGAAAGAGGAAGATATCAGAGTCAAAATCAGGAGGACTTGATAGCAGGGTGAGTGTTAAGATGGAAAGAGTACCAGGGAGTGTTTGAAAGGATTAGGTAACTGAGTAGTTGTGGACAACAGAGGAGAAGCAGCTATTTTTTATGTGGCCTTTTTGTTTGGTTTGAGATAAGGTCCCAGTATACAGTGCAGGATGGCTCTGAACTCATGATCTTCCTGCCTCTACTTTCCATGCATTGGTATTATAGATAGTCCTGTACGCCCATGGCCAACAGATGAAGCTATTTGCATAATGAACTTGACTTTTTAATATACTCAAAATTTGGATGATAGTTTGTTGTTGTTTTGTTTCTTTAATGAGAAGGGTCTTCTTTTGTAGACCAAGCTGGCTTCAAACTCATCACCTTCCTGTTAGAAGCTCTCAGTGATGTGCACTGTTTCTATACTTGAAGAATATGTAAGACGAGAACTCCAAGTGACAATCTAGTGTTAAGTATTCAAGTCTCAGAAAATAGGATCTAGACTAGAGATAAAGGCTTAAGTCTAGAGCAGAAGTGATTAAATGCACACCAAAGTATATCCCAGACACTTATAGGGTTATGTTTCAAAAACCTATGAGCCGGGCAGTGGTGGTGCATGCCTTTAATCCCAGCACTTGGGAGGCAGAGGCAGGTGGATTTCTGAGTTCGAGGCCAGCCTGGTCTACAGAGTGAGTTCTAGGACAGCTAGGGCTACACAGAGAAACTCTGTCTCGAAAAACCAAAACCAAAAAAAAAAAAAACAACAACAAAAAAAAACAAACCTATGAATACTCTAGAAGCAGGTTTACTGCTCCAGAAAGCTGGAGGAAGAGGGAGCCACAGAGGAGACTGAGAAGGACCAACCACAGAGGCAAGAGAAAAAAAACAAGAAAATGAGCATCACTTGTCACATCTCCAAGAGGGAATAGCTCTGAGTATGGAGGCTGCAAAAACAGTTTAGAGAGTACCAGTCAAGTGCCCAGGGGATGCAGAATAGAGGGTGCCAGCAGTCCCTAGATTGGGGAGGGGTTCAGCTTAGGGTAGGAAAGGTGGCAGTGGAGTGTAAGAAAGCAGAGAAGGAGAATTGGGCATCACTAAGAACTGCTATGGAGAAGAGAGGTAGCATGCAAAGGGGCTTTTGAATGCTGGTGGTTGGTGGCTGCAGAGTCTCTAGATCTCTCCAGTGTGGAAGGAAAGTGAGAGTGTAAAACCAAAAGGAGGGCCTCTGGGAAAAGCTGTCTGTGGAGAGAGGTGATAAGAGCCTGTGCCCACAAGGGAGACTGTTCGCTGGGTCACAGGAGCTGATTATCAGGTTGTCATTTCCACCCCATCTCTATCTCCTTCCTGCTCTTGGCCTGGCTCTCCTTGGAGCTAGTAGAGAGAAGGAAGGAGTCATTCCCTGGAAGAAGTTCTGTGCTCTCAGAGGTCATTCTGCCTGAGTGTAAGCTGGGGCTGGGACCAAAAGTGGAGGAGGATCTAAGGAGGGAATAAGAACCAAGGACTGGAGGTAGGGGTGGAAGAGGAGAGAAAAGTCTGGGAGGTGTGGAAGCTGTTTCTAGATGGGATCCTGAGAACTACAGCAGTGAAGGGCTGGACTCTGGGAAAATGATGTAATGGGTGGTATCCCTTCAAATTCCCTGTGCCTACAGGTTCATATGGCTCTCCTCATCTTGCTGTTCCTGCTGCCAAGTCCCTTACATTCCCAGTCCACCTGTAGTATCTCCAAAGAGATCAGTCTGCTGGAAGTAAACTGTGAGAACAAGAAGCTGACAGCATTGCCTGCAGACCTGCCAGCAGATACAGGCACCCTCTACCTGGGCAAGAACCAACTGGGTACCTTCTCCACAGCATCCCTGGAGCATTTCACTCACCTCATTCATCTGTACCTGGATAAATGTGAGCTGACCAGTCTGCAGACTAATGGAAAACTGTTAAAGCTGAAAACTCTGGACTTATCTCACAATAACCTGAAAAGCCTGCCCTCCCTAGGACAGGCACTGCCTGCACTCACTAGTCTAACCATCTCCTTCAACAAGCTGGGCTCACTGTCTCCTGGTATCCTAGAAGGCCTAAGCCAGCTCCAGTTTCTCTACTTGCAGAACAATGATCTTAAGAGTCTGCCTCCTGGGCTCTTGATGTCCACAACCAAGCTGAAGAAACTCAATCTGTCCAACAACAAATTGCGTGAGCTGCCCCCGGGGCTCCTAGATGGGCTAGAGGATCTTGACACCCTCTACCTTCATGGGAACTGGCTACGCACAATACCAAAGGGCTTCTTTGGGACCATCCTCCTGTCTTTTGTTTTTCTCCACAGCAACACCTGGTATTGTGACTGTGACATCCTCTACTTCCGTAGCTGGCTCCAGGAAAATATCAACAATGTCTACTTATGGAAGGAGGGTGTGGATCTCCAGGGCATGACTCCTAATGTGGCCAGTGTACGATGTGCCAATTTGAACAATGCACCTGTCTACTCCTACCCAGGGAAGGGCTGCCCTACCACTGGTGGTGACACAGACTATGATGACTATGATGATGTCCATGATGTTCCTGCCACAAGGACTGAGGTCAAGTTCTCTACTAACACTAAAGCTCATACTACCCACTGGGGCCTACTCTCTGAAGCGTCTTCTACTTATCAAGACAGCCAAATGACTTCTTTGCCTTCAACCCATGAACCCAGTAAGAAACAATCTACATTCACCCACACACAGATTCCAGGTTTCACCACACTCTCAAACACCATGGAATCCAACACAACCTTCTATAGTCTAAAATTCAACACTGTACCCACTACCACCCCAACCACCCTACAGCCCACCTCTACTCAGTCTATCCCAGAGCCTAACATCCAACCAATGCTTACCATCTCCACCCTGACCACCCCAGAGCCCAGCACCACCCCAGTTCCCACCATGTCCATCCTAACTACCCTCAAGTCCAGCAGCACCCCAATGCTTACCACCTCTACCTTGACTACCCCAGAGCACAGCACCACTCCAGTGCCCACTACTGCCACCCTGACCACCCCAGAGCCCAGCACCACCCCAACTACTCTAGTGTCCACTATTTCCCCAGTGCCCACTACTGCCACCCTGACCACCCCAGAGCCCAGCACCACCCTAACTACTCTAGTGTCCACTATTTCCCCAGTGTTCACTACCACCTTGGCCACTCCAGAGTCTACCCCAATTGAGATTATTTTAGAACAATTTTTTACTACAGAGCTCACTTTACCCCCTACCTTAGAATCCACAATAATCCCAGAGTGGAACAGCATCCTAAATTTCCAACAGGTGGCTCAAGCAAGTTCTGATATTTCCGAAAGCAATGTTTTTCTCAATTCTGACTTTTGTTGCCTCCTCCCCCTGGGCTTCTATGTTCTGGGTCTCCTCTGGCTCCTATTTGCCTCTGTGGTCCTCATCTTGTTGCTGACCTGGATCTGGCATGTGACACCACACAGTCTGGACGTGGACCAATCTGTTGCATTGGCCACAAGCACACAGACAACAAGCCTGGAGATGCAGAGGGCAAGGCAAGTAACTATGCCCCGGGCCTGGCTACTCTTCCTTCAAGGATCACTTCCTACTTTTCGGTCTAGCCTTTTCCTGTGGGTAAGGCCTAATGGGCGTGTGGGGCCTCTGGTAGCAGGACGGCGACCCTCAGTTCTGAGTCAGGGTCGTGGTCAAGACCTATTGGGCACAGTGGGCATTAGGTACTCAGGTCATAGTCTGTGACAGTGAGTGCTTTGGAGATCCTAAGACTCCACTGGACTCTACTAGGATCTAGCTGGAATGGGAGATTGAGACCATTATAGGACATCCTATTTACTTTTCCTTAATCTGAAGCCCCCTCTTTACATCTAGGCATCCAAATCCAGACCTCACAAATCAAGAGAGGTAATAGTGAGGTGATGTAACTGGGTGGTCATAGGACCAACCTCCTTACGTTGCTTAGAACATTGCCAGGCTACATAGTCACTGCTACCACTTAGTGGGAAAAAAAAGCTAGAACAAGCAAATAGAAATGGGGCATGGCTCCCATTCACACTTGGAAGAAAACTTGGAAAGCCATTCATCAGGACGGGAGCATTATCCCTAAGTATCATGAGTATTTTTTTCCCCTGTCTAATACTTTCTGGTTGTCTACCAGTGCTATCATTTGTATAATAAAAGTATTTTTAAAAAAAAATGTCGCTTTTGGGGGGGAATGGGAATGGCTGAAGCACCTGTTACAAGAATCCCCTAAGTCCCAACTGCCACCATCCTGATCCCAAATACCTAACAAACCTCTAGCTGAGGGTGGACAGATAGGACACCTCCACTTTAGTGACTGTCTCCCACAGGGTCTGGCTATGCACCAGGCTACCTCAAGGATCAACTCTAGAATAGAGAATGTTCTAGAGCTGGGAGGCAGATCTAAAGCCTGCCTGACTGTATCAGAGGTGGGCACTTTCTTCACACGCATAGCCTTTAGAACACAACTCTCCTTGTCGGCCAGGTCAGTGGGACTGGGAAAGGGTGTGGCAGTCTGTTGGGTTTGACTGTAGTCCTTTAAGTCTCCTGCTTTCAAAGCTGGGTGTAATAGCATCTTTCTCCCAAAATTTCACAGATTCTCCCAGCAAGGCCTTCTTCCATACCTCATTTTAGTTCAATTCGGGGTTTGGGGGCCAGATAAGGGAAGGAAGGTTGCACTTTTCTGGGTCTACAGAATGCCCTTCTCCAGATGGTTCTAGATCTTCCTGTGAACCCCACTGAATCTCTTTCCTGCCATGAACTCTTTCAAGTAGAAAACAAACCTTGGAGGTTAGCCATCAAAGATTTTTCTTCATGGACTTCACCTACCAGTCCACCTTCATCTTTCATGGTACCGTGTACCTGAACCACTACAAATGTCTCACGGGTCATCTGTGCCAGCAGGTCTTCTGAGCCCATCCTCACTTTAGCTAAGAGTTCTGCCTCCTTCTCAGCCTTTCTCACTACCATGAACAAGTCTCTCTCCTAAGTTGGGTAGGGTGCAGTCCACTGCTATAGCCATTTCCAAATGTTCCCACCGTCTTCTTGCTGCACTTTAAACTCCTTAAGTAAAGGCACAGGCTTCAAATGTCTTCGGGTGGCTACCTTGGGTGGCCTAGGACATGGTGTGCATGGAAGAATTAAAGAAAACAGCAGCAGAGGCACCAGGATGCTGCACTACCATCTTTTTGTGTTAAGGTTCTCCCAAGGGGACAGTTCGCACCTACTGCCTGCCTGTTCTCTGACCTGGCATACAGCCCTCGGGCTGCCTAGCGCTTCTCCTGGTTTGACCTTTCCATAGCCCTTTATACTCCAAAAGTCTGGATGGTCCTTGAGAGCCTGGGAATCACACTTCTTTTTTAAAAAAAATGGATGAAAAAAAATCACTTTCCCTAGCCAACCCAGTTTCTGATTTTTTTTTTTTTTTTGCCTCAATCCTTGGGTTTGACTCCAGTATGTCCTCTCAAGAGCTCTGGACCTCTCACTTAACCACTGGGGTTCTAGCCCACAGAAGTCCAGAGTTTTTTTGGTTTTTGATTGTTTTGTTTTTTCAAGACAGGGTTTCTCTGTGTCCTTGGCTGTCCTGGAATTCACTTGTAGACTAGGATGGTCTTGAACTCAAATCTGCCTCCTGGGGATAAAAGGTGTGAACCACTATGCCCTGCTTCAAGTTAGACTTGTTATTCCTTCCCTCTTTATGCTGAAAAGGCAGATCCCAGAGGCTTTTCCTGAGAACTGTGATATAATTTGTGAGTCAGCTGCATTTTGGGGCAAATGGCTTGCAAGCACACACAAGGCCCAGCTTTCTTCTTTTTTTTCTTTTTCTGTCAGCTGTTGAGCTACAATTTATTTACATGGCATTTTCATAAAACCGGTAGGTGATTTTCTTTAATAATTTTGTTAAAAACTCCAGTATGTTTTCCAGAGATATCAGCTTCTTTGAGCAGCTAGCTCCCTCTACGATCCTCAAGACTATCCAGATTTGGGGTTGGTATTATCAATCCAATTTATTAAGTCCTCAGGGAGGAGGAAGGCCACATCCTTCCACCATAGACTCTTTGGCCATCTTGACAGCTTCTGCTTTCTCCTGTCTCCTCAGCTCTGCCTTGGATTCCCCAGAGAGAGGGATCTGCTGTCTTGTATGCCCTGAAACTAACACCCAAAAGGAGACTAGAAATCCTCAGGGTGTTTCTTATGTCTCCTTAGGAATAGCCTGGGACAGAATGATCCTAAGCATCAGGCCAGGCATGGCAAGCTGGAGCAAGGGGTAGAACAGATTAAAGTTCTTTACCGCAAAGGAGGGAACCACACTGTAGAGGGAAAATAAATAGAATAGCCCAGGGTAGCAGAATCCAGGCCCCCCAGGGCATAACGACTGTAATAGCTGTGGGTGACTTGGAAGCCCTGGCTCACTAGTCCCAGGACCTTGCCAGATCAGCCACTGAGGAAGAGACGCTTGTAGGCCTTGTTCATCTGTTCCAAGAAGATGAAGGTGAGGACAGTGTGGGGGCCCAGTCGGGCATAGTATGGTGTGAAGCCCTTCCACAGGCTGAAGAAACCCTCATAGCGGACGACTTTCAGCAGCACATCCTAGACAGACAGGTGAAGTGCTGGAGCTGGGACCTGGCCTCAAGCACTCTGTCCCCTGTCCCCAGCCCCCTTCACATCTCTCCCAGGGCACCCAACACAGTTTGACCCAGCTCCCCTTCCCTGCCTCCTCACCAGCCCATTCTTGTATTCTGGCTTCCCATCGATCATTCGCATATTTTGGATCCTGAAAGAGAGGAAGTGTAATCATGAAAGATAGAAAGGGGGTCCTCCTGAAGCTCTCCAGTCTCAGGCTACAGACTCACCTAGTTTTGACGATGTCCACAGGCATGGAGGCAGCAGTGGTGACGAGGCCACTGATCATGCTGGCGCAGAAGTGACACAGAATATTGTCAGAGAAGTAGCCTGGGAGGTGAAGCAGAAGGTGGTAGTCAACTCTCAGGTAGCTCAGGCCAGGCTGGGCACCAAGTGCTCAGCTCTGGATCTCTCACCTGAGTCCAGCAAGAACTGCTTGGATTGGGAGTAAGAGGCAAGCTGGGCAGCATTGACAACGACAGCTCGAGCCATGGTAGGGATGCAGCCCTGAAGGTGGGAGAACGGAGACAACGGAGACAGTCAAAAATACCAGAGATGTAACCCAGCATGCCCCACGACTCCAACCCTTTCGCTCACCCGCCACAGCGTGGGTACTCCTTCTTCCCTGGCAATTCTAATTAGGGCATTAAACACGTTTTTGTAGCCACGGCGCTGGTCAGCTGGAAGCCTGGGGAAAGGCAGGGAAAGGCCAAGATCAGGACAGCCCAGGGTCCATAGGAACAAAGAAAAGGTAGCCTGAACAGGTAAGTGCCCTGATGTAGAGCTAGACTAACAACAACAAAAGCATCCAAGATTCCAGGAATGGGGCTGAAGTTAAGCTCAGACTGGGAACTCACCGACCATCAGCAGTCATCCTGATGAGAGCCACCTCAGCTGGCGTCCCCACAAACGCACCAGTTGCACCTGCAGTCATCCCAATCAGGGCTTTCAGGAGAAAGCCAGGAGGTGTACCATCAGCCCCAGTCAGGCGCTCAAACAACACAGTGTAAATGCCAAGACGAGTAGTGGTGTAGGTGGCCTGGCGCAGTAGGCCAGCTGACAGCCTGAGAACAAATGTCAGTATGTCGGGCCAAGGTCTGGACCTGCCAACCAACACCCTCCCTCCCCAACTGGAAACCACAGTACCCAGTGTATATGCCCTTCAGTCCTTCTGCCTTCAGGATGCTGGTAAGGGCATGGAAACTGGTTTTGTACTCTCGAGTCTTGGCTCCTTCACCACTCAACTGCATCCGGTTCTTCACCAGGTCCAGGGGCTGCACAAAAACTGTAGCACCCATCCTGAAGTAAAGCAGGAAAGGAATCAGAGGTCAGCTGTTCCAGCTCTACTACAACCTGGCAGCAAGAAGTTACAAAGGTCAGGGTCTGACATGCAACTAAGGATTCAGGAAGCTGGTGGGCATGTGTCTGTGTGCATCAAGGGCAATGTGGGCAGAAGAAAGTCCAGTTGCCCAGTAAAAAGCATGCAAATCACAATGCTTTAGGCAGTTCTTTAGGGTTCAAGCAGAATTAGGACTACAGGCAATCTAAGGAAGGGTGGAGAGGGCGTCCACAACCTAGGACTCCATGCAGTCCTATAACAAAGCCTTTAATGACCTAGACCCACCACCCAAACAGGCACAGTGAAGCAATGGTGGTGGAAACACGGGGCAATGACCCTTGAATACAGCCCAGTTGGGCCCCTGCAATGGGTGAACAGATCCTGGCAACCCATCAGGGACCCTGCACCGGCTCAATTTACTGCAACATACCCCAAGTTTCACTGGGCCTGGATGCTTGCTCCCGTCCCTTCCTCCTTTTTCCCCATCCCTGGGGCCTGAGCTTACCCAGCCAGGCCCCCAAACAGGAACTTGACCGACTTAGGGGAGGTACGGGGTTTCCCGTCCATCCGGCCAGCCCCGGGACTCGCCGTCGCCGCCATCGCCCCTTGATGGCCCTGGGCTTTGGGTCCCGTGCACGCACAGCCCCGCTCGCGCCCAAGGTGACACCAGCGCGCAACAGGGCGAAGGCGCGCGCGCGCGCACGCCCCTCCGACAGGCAAATCTGGCTCCAGCTGGAAGCTGGGGCAGGCGCAGGCTCGTAGCGCAAAGGCAGCCGGGAATAAGGCGGGGCTAAGATGCAATATGAAGAGGTGTGTCTGACTTGGGAAGCTACCCTGTAGCTCCCGCCCCTACCGAATTAGAATCGCGGGAAAAATTGTTTGGAAATCTCGCGAGAGCAAGTGAGTCCGCCTAGTTCGGGTTATGAGGCTTCTCGCGGTAAATTTCAGCGGCGAAAGGGGGAGGTGGTGGTGAGCACTCTCGCGATACCTGAACGTACCGCGGCGGCCAGACGAAGGAGAGGTTTGTAAACAGGGCAGCTCCAAGATCTCAGGGATTAAGGGAAAAAAATTAGATCGTCTCCTGAGCATCGAGGCTCCCTCCGTCTCCGCAGGCACTCTACATGTCAAATATTTCTTTCAACCGGCCTTTTTGGACCGGAAGTCCTCCGTCCTGAGCGTCCAACACTGGAAGCGGCCTTTCTTACCGGAAACCCTTTTCCGGGGCATAGGAAGACGGCCTACCTGGCCGGAAGTCCCACCTCTTTGAGATTTCTCCCACCCTTCCTGAAGTTTTTGTTTTTTTGTTGTTGTTACCTGTTTGCCTTCGTTCCTATTGTTTTTATTTCTCTACCAGAGAAAGATACATTGTCTCCCCTCCCAGCTCCACTAAGCTGGTTTGATATCTCACTTCCCGAATCAGTTCCTTCCCTGACGCCCCCATGTAGCTGAGAAGCGGGACCTAGGGGTGGTCGGACCCCTGGGATCCTGAAGAAGAGGCAGAGAGGGCGCAGGACTCGGCTTCTGCTCCTGCTATCAGGACGTGACCTCCTCAGCTTTAACTCTCCTGCTGCCATGCACCCTGCGGCCTTCCCGCTTCCTGTTGTTGTGGCTACTGTGCTGTGGGGAGCAGCCCCTATCCGAGGGCTTATTCGAGCGGTGAGTTTGAGAGTTGGACGGGGAAAGGGTGTGGAGAATGGGTTTCAGACTGAATAATGTACTGTTTTGTCTGCAGACTTCCGAACACAATGCCAGCATGGACTTTGCAGACCTTCCAGCTCTATTTGGGGCCACTCTGAGCGATGAGGGGCTCCAGGTAATGCTTTCCCCATTTCCTTATATGTATCCTGGGCAGGGATTAAGTAGCCATGCTCAGGAGGTAGGGAATAGGGGAGTTAGCAGCTTAATGTACTGGGCTGTGGCAATAGTTCATTTTTCCTAGTATGAGTGAGATTCTAGGTTGACTCTCCAGCAAAACAGCGCCCCCCCACCCCGTAAAACCTAAGTGCATGATCATGTCCAGTGCAGAGTCCAGAATCTAGAGATAAAAGACAGTGTCCACCCCTAGATCTCCCAAGTTTTTTATTTTATGTGCCTAGGTGTGAGGGTGTCAGATCCCCTGGAACTGGAGTTACACTCAGTTGTGAGCTGCCACATGGGTGCTAGGAACTGAACTCAGGTTCTCTGGAAGAACAGCCAGTGCTCTTAACCACTCAGCCTTCTCCAGCCCCTAGAACTCCCAAGTTTAAGAGGGATCTGACTGAGAGTGGGTAAAGATAAAAAGCAGGTGCTTATCAGCAATATCTCTGGTGCTACTCACTGTATAGCTGTGGACAGTCTTCTATTGGTTCTGAGTAAAATGGGTAATAGAAATGAGGTTTCTTGTGAGATAAGCAAGTCTGTAGTAGTTCATTACAAAGTTCTTGCCACATAGCAAGAACTCAGTTGGGCCACAGATACCAGTAGAGTTTTAAGATGGCTAATTGGAAAAGAAGAAGCAAATTGAATATGCTGTATGTACTTGAAAGGCGAATGTGAAGAAAACCTGGTGAAAATGACATGAATGAGTAGCAAGCTGAATCACTATCGGTGGGAAACTTAAAAGCAGAACTAAACTAGCGTTGAGAAGTCAGGTAGCCTCTGGTAAAGGGATGTTGTTTACTGTTACTGCATCTTCAAGAAGCTAAGAGAGCCTTTCTGTTTTGAGACTGGACTCTGGAACTCTGGCTGTCCCTAATTCACTGCAGATCAGGCTAGCCTCCAGCTCACTATACTCCAAGTGCTGGGATTAAATGCATGTATCACCATGTCTACCTGAGTTGTAGATTTCTGATCTGTGTGGGATGCTCAGACCTCAAGAATGAGTAATGATAGAGCTGCAGAATACAGACAGCATGTGTAGTGCTGTGTGGTAGGTCCTGTGAAAGACAGAACTAAAGATGAAAAATCCAACTGTTTGCCTTTATTCCTCAGGGGTTTCTTGTGGAGGCCCACCCAGAAAATGCCTGCAGTCCTATTGCCCCGCCACCCTCGGCCCCAGTCAATGGGTCAGTCTTTATTGCACTGCTTCGAAGATTCGACTGCAACTTTGACCTCAAGGTTGCCGAATGGGGAACGGGAGGTAGGAAGCAAGGTAAACGACACCAGGAATGAAGAAAGGCAAGGTTTACAACTCTATCCCACTTTGCCTCCTTAGGTCCTAAATGCTCAGAAAGCTGGGTATGGTGCAGCTGTAGTACACAATGTGAATTCCAATGAACTTCTAAACATGGTGTGGAATAGTGGTAAGGACCAAGAAATTTTGTACTGGGTTTTCCCTTCAATGGGAGGGCTAAAGACCTAGAGGGCAATTGGTTGAGACCTGCAAAAGTGCCAAAAGCCAGTTTCGGGGAATAGAGGAATGGAAGGCTAAATCCCTCATTTCCTGCTTCCTACAGAGGAAATCCAACAACAAATCTGGATCCCATCTGTGTTTATCGGAGAAAGAAGTGCAGAGTACCTACGAGCCCTTTTTGTCTATGAGAAGGGGTAGGTCTTCCCATTTTTTCCCTCTCCTTTGGGGTTCCATGCTAGTCTGGAACCCAACTTCACTACCCTGTCCACTCAGGCTCAGGTTCTTCCTCATCTGTCTTGATTTTCTCATTTATGCCTTGTCCCAAGCCAGTAAACTTTATTTTAACCTGGCTTGAGGCTGTCTTTCTTTCCTCAGGGCTCGGGTGCTTCTGGTTCCAGACAATAGCTTTCCCCTGGGCTATTACCTCATTCCTTTTACTGGGATTGTAGGACTGCTGGTTTTGGCCATGGGAACAGTATTGGTAAGTAGCTGAGGAAACTTATGATGCCAGACTGGATCTGTAGATGGGAGGTTTTTATTGGATTTTTCCAGTTATTTCTTAAGCTTGGTCCAGTCCACTCTTCCTTATCCCTAGATAGTTCGATGTATCCAGCACCGGAAACGGCTTCAACGGAACCGACTTACCAAAGAGCAACTGAAACAGATTCCTACCCATGACTATCAAAAAGGTAAGGGCACAGGGAAGGGGAGGCACCGGGAAGAGGGCCCTTTCTCCTAGCTAGCCTCATATTGAAGGATTTTTGAGCCAAGTAGGTAGGGGTTCAAAGAGCCAGAGAGATGCCACCTTTGCTTGTCTTTTACTGACAAGCAACCACAAGCAAATAGGTAGGGCAGAGCAGGAAAGCAGTGATGAACCAAGGAAATGTTTCACCTTGTGTATGGGGGTGTAGAGAGTAAGATGTGAGAACTCAAAGCAGGTGAGAAGGGGTTGGGTTATCTAGACTTGGAGCCTTCAGTACCATATAAGGCTATAGCAAAAGCCTTGCCCCTCCCAGTTCTGCTTTCCCCTCCTACCCCCCCACCCACTTCCCTTATCTCTGCTTGTCCCCTCTAGCCCCACGATTTTGTTTGCACTGGCTAAGTAAAAAACTGAGGAAATAGCTCAGTGAATCCTTTCCCTTTCCCAGGAGATCAATATGATGTCTGTGCCATCTGTCTGGACGAATATGAAGATGGGGACAAGCTGCGGGTACTTCCCTGTGCTCATGGTAAGACTACTCCCTTGTCTATACTCCTGCCCAACCTGCAGGGACCAGGCACTTCACATATGCTACTCCACAGCTTATCACAGTCGCTGCGTGGACCCCTGGCTCACTCAGACCCGAAAGACCTGCCCTATCTGCAAACAGCCTGTCCATCGGGGTCCTGGGGATGAAGAGCAGGAAGAAGAAATTCAAGGGCAAGAGGAAGGTGATGAAGGGGAACCAAGGGACCAACCTGCTTCCGAATGGACCCCACTCTTGGGCTCTAGCCCTACTCTTCCTACCTCCTTTGGCTCCCTAGCCCCTGCTCCCCTGGTCTTTCCTGGGCCCTCCACAGATCCCTCACCTTCTCCTCCATCTGCTGCCCTGGCCTGACACCCCCATACTTGGTACCTCTGATGACCTATTTGCACAAACTCTTTTTCCAGTCTAATAAGCTGAAGGTGAGGGATAGGGGACATTTCCACCCCAGGTTCGTGAGCCCACCCTCATCCTTTTTGAGGGGGCTAGGAGCCATAGGAACTGGTCTTTGCTTCTTGGACTAATAAATTTGTTTTTTTTTTTTTAATTAAAGGGTAAGATCATCTTTTTATTCTGGAATAAATAATCACCTTAATAAATTAACTTAACAGGAGGACAGCCCTAGCTGCATGTGCTATGACTCAGGGATGGGGGAGCCCCACCTACACAAGATGACTCAAGTGGCCCTGCCTCACCCGCAGGCTTGGACCCATGGACCCATTCTCTAGTCTGGATGGCCATGTTCCATTACATACTAATGTACTAGTGACTAGACCTGAAATGGAAATATCACTATAGGGGTCTAGGTCAAAAAGGAAATCAAAGAGTTCATTCTGGATATAGCCAAGAAGCAGATACCTAATTGAGGCAGGTCACAGTGCCTGTCTCCAACTAATGTCAAGTGCAAACCACACAGGTCCTTGTTAGTAGAATCTTTTTTTATTCAGAAAAAAAAAAAAAAAGACCAAAAACAAAAAATAAAAATGAAACCCAAAAACAAAATTTTCCAAACACACACAGGAAGGGGTATGGGTAGGGGGAGGTATCTGTCCGTCCAGCCCCAGCCCCCAGCCCATGTGGTTTTGGCAGCAATAAGGGAAATGGGGTAATGGCCCAAAAAATAATGGTATGTGTGTGTATGGAAAGAAGGGGGTGCAAAAGCCAAAGGGAGCGGTGGGGGAGGGGACAGATGAGGTCAGTACTGGGAACGCCGCAGGTGACAGGCCATTTCATAACATTTCTTGTTGATCAAACCACCGTGGACACCTTCTTTGCCCATCAGCAGGACTAGCGCTGGAGGAAAGAGAAAGGAAGCTAGGACCCAGGTGTCACAATTTAACCACGCCAGCTGTTCAGCAGCTGTCCAGCCCCAGGGGTGGTAACCTAACCTCATCCCTCCTAGCAGCCCTCCCCCTTATACACAGGCAGGCTGTCACTCACCCTAAAACAATAGAGCTTTTCAAAGAAGGAAGAAAGCTTTAAGACTAGTAGAGGGCAAACTTGAGAGGTCCCAGGCTGTAGACTGCTGTGGCTAGGAGCTTCCTACCTCAGTCTTGGAGCCAAATGCTGACTTGAGATTCAACAATCTACTCCAAGCAAACTAATCTCAAAAGGCTCAAAACAAGAAGGGACTTAAGAGATAATGTAATTTAGCTTCTTTACAAGATGGGGAGCCAGAGGCAGAACCCAAAGGACCATTCAAGGTTCCCATATCCAGCAGAGTAAAATTCTGTTTTGCAGCCTTGACACCGAGGACACATAAAACAAAGTGACTAACAAAAGGTTAGGGATTACAAAGCTAGAGAATCTGTCAAACTCACTCTTGGCAGTCATGGTGACAGTGACATTGAAGGTGGGGGCTCCTCCAGTGCTCTTGGTACGAAGATCCATTGTAAATTCCCCGTCTTGCAGCAGTGAGTCCCGAATCACAGAACATTTCTGGCCCCCAAGTGTCAGCCCATTCACGAAAAAACTTGACCGGTCTTTGCCTACCAGGACACCAACCTCAGCTGGCTAGAAGAATCAATCACCTCATTTAGTTAGTGTGCCTGCCTAATTTGTCCTCTTATGTACTGTAGGGTTGAAGGTGAAGGTGCTTCATACACACCATCAAAAGTTGGGGGAAAAAAACCAGTACTGTGGGTAGTAAAATCATGATCCTAAAGTCTAGTAAATGGGTCCAGGAAGAAAAAAAATATTCCTCTGAAGTCTTAGATCTTCATGTTTAGTATAGAAAGTAAAGAAAGAAAATGCTGGGTACCAAAAATCGATCAATGATCGAGGGGGAGCCTCTGGATGCTCAGAACAGTCCTTCAGGAAAAGCAGAAGCGGGGAAGGCAAGGGAGGGGGTAGGAAGGGAGGAGAAGTAACTTTGTCCTTATTTGGTCAAAGGTTCTGCGGGCGTTGTTAGGAGCCCGGACGCCTGGGTCTCCCGGTAAGCTAGAGTTTAGCTCCAGGTATCTATGCCCCAAGATAAGGAAGCTGACCCCTGGGGGCTTTCTAATTAACTTTTAAAAGTTTATAACGGCGGGAGACTAATCTGCCTTAGACTCCAGACATCTAGGAGAACCTTTCTCCTTCTCCCCCTTAAACCCCAAACCCCTATATCCGGTACCCTCCCGCCCGGAAATCCCCTTTCCCCCATTAGAACTTCCGCTCCCCCTCCCCACTTCCGGGCAGTGTGGTCAGGGAAGGTGGTGGTAGGGACAGCAGCAACCTTATTCCTTCACTTTTACCGTCTCAGAACTTCTCATAAAGTTCCCCTACTCCGGGCCCGGCCGGATGGCGGGAAGGGAGGGTGAGGGGACTTCCGGGATTGGCCTCACAGGAATGTTGAGGCTAACGTGCCGAATTGGGGGTGTGTGTGTGGCGGCCTCGCCCTCTCTAACGGAGTTGGGAGGGGCAGGGTACTACCGAGGTCCGGCAAGGGCCCAAGGCCACGCGCCTGGCGCTCCCATCAGCGTAAGGGGAAACAATGGTGGAGGGAGAGCGAGCAGTCGGCCCAAAGGGGAGACCTGGCTCCCCAAGCCCCTTATCAATCATAATCCCAGGCTAAAATTGCAGCGCGTGTCTGCCCCGCCCTGAAGGAGGCGGAAGTGGGCCGCCGCACCGGGCGGCGCGCCCCTCCCCGCCCTGTGCCCCGGATGTAACGCCCCGTCGCAGAAAGCGGGGTGGCGGGCGAGATGGGCGCCGCCGCCGAGGGGCGTAGAACTTGGGGGACAACGGAGGGACCTAGTTTCATGCAGCCGCCATTCGCGCCGCTTCAGGGGGAGGACCGGATCACGGCCTCTCGCTAGACTGCGCCCGCCCCCACCCAAGTCTCCCAGAGGGTCTAAGCCTGGTCATTGCCCGGGACCGCACAAGCCTCGCAGTACCGTAATGCTAACGAAGGTCTTCCCGGGAACGGCGGCCCAGACGGAGGGCGAGTCCTTGTAGCCTACGATGGCCGCGTCCTGACAGGTCCCGTCCGCCATAAGGCTGTCGATGTAGGCGTTCCACCCGGCCATGGCGCTGCTGCTGGGGCTGCTCTGCGGGCTGCTGCTGGGATCGCGGGCTGGACTCGGGCTGGCGGGCGGGGGAAGGTAGAGAGCTCGGGGCACGCGCTGCCGTCCGGAACGCGGCTCTGTTAGCTGTGCAGCAGCCCTCGCACCGCCACTTCCTGCTCCTCCCCCCCCCCCCAGGTTTTTTTTTGCAAAGGGCGGCGGGGGGGGGGCGGCTCCCCCCCCCCCCCCCCCCTCCTCCCCCCCCCCCCTTGCCGGGCCAGATAGCGAACTTTTGCAAATGCAATTTTAAAAAGCCCTCCCCCCCGCTTTTGCAAAATTTGCCGAGTTCGATGGAAAGCCATGCGAAAGGCTAGAGTGGTGGTGTTGGCAGGAGGGAGGTTAAGGTTAGGACTCGCTCCAATTCATACTGAATACAAACCACTTTGGGGAGGAAGCCAGAGGAAGAAGGGAAAGAAAAAAAGAGAAAAATTAGTAAGATTGAGCAAATTAAAGTGGGTTCGGGGAACCCAGGGTTAAACCGAATCATTCCTCCACCCCCCAACCCCCACCTCCGCGGGAGGGAAGGAACGGCGGGCGGCGGCGGCGCGTGCGCCCGCGCCTGCGCCGGGGCAGTAAGAAGACAGCGCGTGGGGCGGTTGGGGCTAGCGGCTTGGCTGCGTGAGCGCGCGCCTGGCAGGACAGATTTGGACCTTCCTAAGACGCGTCCCCAGCAGTCGGGACGGGCAGACGCTCTGGGTTGTGCGCTGCTGCTACCTTCTCCACATTTTGTTTAAACGATAAGGGAGTAAAAGTAAAATTGATATAATACTCTAGTCATTTTCAATACTAAAGGTCTCCAACCAGGGCACCTGTCCCAACCGTCTGCCGTGGACGCACATGTTGGGTTCATTCGAGCGTGTCTCTAAATTCCAGAGGAATCATTCCCTTCGCTGGATCCGCTCCAGTTCAACCTCGCCCCAAGCCTGAACCCTGTCTACAGAGGTCACTGAGTAGGGACGCCAGCCGGGTGGCACGACGGGACTCATTTTTCAAGGCGGAAGAATACTAAAGTACCAAGGATGACAACTTTTACAAGAAGAGGAAAGTCCCCTCTACTTTGGACTCATTGGGGCTTTCTTCTTTTCCCGTAAAACTTTTGCTAACTACTTATGTGCGGCCAGCTCACTCGCGGCCGAGCAGGTCTGGGGGGCAATGGCAGGCCCGTGAGGCTGGAGGGAGTGAAGGAGTCACTCGGGACCCTAGCCTCCGAGGGGATCGGCCGCTTCCGGTCCCTCGGAGGAGGGGCGCCGGGGTGTGGAGCCTCTCCCAGTGGTGGTGGGGTTGGGGTTGGGGGAGACTTGGTTCGCTGCCTCTCGGGAGCCGGGTTGGGTTCCCTGATGTTCATCCCAAAATTCTGGTTCCCCACGCCCCCCCAGCCCAGGTTCTTCGACAGCCGCGTGGCTGAGTCACGGGCGGGGCCGTGCTGGGGCACGTGGCGGTCTGCGCCCGCCATCCCTTGACCTCTGATCTGCGCGCCTCCTGCCCGGGGGTGGAAAAATCCTGCAGGGAGCGGCAGGAGATAAGAGGGGAGGGGCGGGACAGGGACGCGACCGCAGGTGGGGACCCTAGGGTGGAGGCTAGGAGGACGACCCCGAGGGGAGGGCCGACGGGGAGGAGCGCTCAAGAGCCGGCCGCCCGGTGAGTCACCCGCTCCAATGTCGGCGAGTGAAAAGCTGAGACGCCCTGGGAAACCAGCCGGTCGGCCCGCCAGGCTTCCACGGAGCGCGGAACTACTACCCCACACTAGCCCTAGACCTGCCAAGGCAGAGAGAGTTACCGAGTGCAGAGATTCGCTTCCTGCGGTGCTGCATATAGATGGACAGAGTGGCCACAGGCGTCCAAGAGCTTACAAAGGGTCATCCCCTTTTCCTGTCCATTCATGATTTTTTTTTTCCCATTCCTGATATAACACCATTCTTTGATAGGAAAGGATTGAACGCTGAAGCGCCCACAGTCGGTGGGGAAAAGGGCTCCTGACCACTTAAGGCTTCACGCAGGGACATAAATGCTATCCCAGCAGTATCTATCGGGCGCCAGTCCAGCGCTCAGTGCTGGTCTATATTCGTCTCCTGGCCTCTCATCGCTCATCACTGGCCAAGAGAGGATAGGGTGGAGTGGTGCCGGAATGGCTGTTATGAGGACCTGAGAGGTGAAAGCACTGGCCGCCTTTGGTCGAGGGGTGTCGACTTTAGACCTCAGAGCTTGCTCAGCATCACTGATGCCTTCCCCCAACTGTGTGGCCTGCGCCGCCTGCCTCCGAGTGAGTGGAGCACATGTACACGTCAGTCTTGCAGGCCCTTTTCTAGGCCCCCTCCTCAGCCTGCAGGGCTCAGATTACCCCTGGCCTTTCTAAAAGGGCACTTGGTTCCTCTTTAACCTTTGCAAGAGGGGAATGTAAGTTTGAGAGGAAAGACCCTCCCATCAGAAGCCTCTCTCCTGCTTTCCCAAAGAGTGGACCTCAAAGTAGAGACTTTTATTGGGGGGGACAAAAAGAAATTGCATGGGGGTAGTCATTAACTTTTGAGAAGGGGGTACATGCCCCAGGCCAGAGGCTTCTGCTTCAGGATGTAGTGGGCACTTGGCTGCCTGCCCAGTGTGGAGGGGAGGAGGATGGAATGAGAGAGGCGGGGCTGGCTGGGGGACAGGGTGGCCTGGAGATAAATGCCCAGCCTGAGAGGGGGTGAGCTGACACTGTCCCAGCTGCTACCTAGAGTAGACACGCCACTCAGAGTCCCAAGGAAGACATCACAGGTTTGGTAAAACATCAGTTACACGGTGTGCAGGGGTGGGGTGGTGCTGGCTCAGGAAAAGTGAGGGGAATTTTGGCTTTTTTCTTCCTAGGATTGAGAGTACTTGAAAGAGAGAGGCCAGGTTGGAGGGAGCAGAATTAAAGCAAATACTGAAGGGTACTGACAGATAGAGAAAAGCAGGCTCTGAAGAGGGGAAAGTGGATAAAGAAGTCACCATTGAGCCAGGCGGAGAATCTGGGGTCTAGGAGGATATGGGAATGGGACAATGAGAACCAGATTGGTTTGAGAGGTAGGAGGATGTAGCAAGCAGATTACTTAATCATAAAGGTGCAAGAAGGTATAAGCTTGGTGAGGTATTCAGGGAGTGGTGTCATCTGGGGAGTTATAAAGTCATGAGCCCTTGATTCTCCCGATTGGGAGGGCGTAACAAGAGCTATTCTGAGTGGGGGGAGGGGACCAGCCTGCCTTCCTCTTTGGTCTGTGACCTTTTTATGGGGTATTTTTAGCTCCAGCACCTGCCTTCTTCGGGTGGAGAAGACTCTTAAAAGGGCAAGGGAGTTGTAGTTCCTTAAGGGATCAACTGTCCACACTCGCTTGCTCGCTGGCTTACTCACAGCTCTTTTGGTGCAGCTATGGCCATGCAAAAAATCTTTGCCCGAGAAATCCTGGACTCCAGGGGAAACCCCACAGTGGAGGTGGACCTGCACACAGCCAAGGGTAACACGGACTTGCTGAATTGGTTTGCCTCAGAAAACCCTCGACCTCACTGGCTCCTTCCCCAAGAGTTCTATGCCACATCCTGTCCTTAGTCAGAGGTTCCTTCCCCCAGACTTCTTTGCAGACCCTCTTTTCTTCCTGACTCCAAAGCTGGGGGAAGCAGGAGTTTCTGTATTTGCTCCTCTTCCTGGGTCCAGGGAGGTGACCCCAAGCCTTTGTTGGTGGACTCCTTCTGATCTGCCAGTTCCTCCTGCCCAGGTCGGTTCCGAGCAGCTGTACCCAGTGGAGCTTCCACAGGTATCTATGAAGCACTGGAACTACGAGATGGAGACAAATCACGATATTTGGGGAAAGGTGAGCAAAGACTAACCCAGCACGGAAGGACCCTGTGTGGGCTGACTCAGGACAGGGATAGAGGACTGGAACCCAAAGCCAAGGGCCCCTCATGGGATGAGGCCTAACCCACTTAGAAATCTGAACCCATTCTCTGGCCTCCAGGAGTGCTCAAGGCTGTGGAACACATCAACAAGACTCTAGGTCCTGCTCTGCTGGAAAAGGCAAGTGGAGGAGCCAGCCCCCTTCCCTCCTCCCTGTGACCCCATGCCTTCTCTCAGGTAGTCCCACTCCGAGTATTCTCACTTATCCTTCATCCTGCACATTACCTGACTGACTCCTGAGAAATCCGACCTCTGTCTCTTCCAGAAACTAAGTGTTGTGGATCAAGAAAAAGTTGACAAATTTATGATCGAGCTGGATGGGACTGAGAATAAGTGTGAGTGAGGTACCCGAGGTGGAAGGGTGTGTCATGCAGCGAGGGTGGAAGAGAAATCACTGACAGCTGGCTGGGCTCCTTCTGTCCCACATCTTGGGGCACACCGTAGCTGGGTAGGCTTTTATTCATTCCACAGGCATTTCCTGATGCCTGGCTTCTGCCAGGCCTGGCTGGCTGGCAGTAGACACATGTGAAACTCTTGGCCCAGGGGGGTGAACTCCCAGAGATCCACAGACCAGGAAAGAGAGATGAGTTAACAAAATCTTAATGTCAAGTGATTTAGAAAGCTTCTTCCTCAGGTGACCAGAGGGAATGTTCAAGGAATTAAGCCCCAAACCTGTGAGAGCTCTCATCCTTTCTCTCTGCTTGCCTCCCTCTAGCCAAGTTTGGGGCCAATGCCATCCTGGGTGTGTCCCTGGCCGTTTGTAAGGCTGGAGCAGCTGAGAAAGGGGTCCCTCTTTACCGACATATCGCAGATCTTGCAGGGAATCCTGACCTCGTCCTTCCTGTGCCTGTGAGTGTGGTTGTGGTGACTCTCTATGACAGCTGCCCCTCCCAAGCTAGGAATGTTTGAGCAGCAACCCCCCACCCCCAGAAAATCTACCTTCTCAGATCCTGCTCCAAAGAAGCATTTCCTGAAATGAAATCTTTCCTGCTGTGCTCCAGCCCTTCCTTCTTTCCCACCGTCTAAAGCTAAGCCTCTTGAGGCTTCCTTCCCTTGCCAGGTCCCTTCCTTTGTATTCCAGGCTCAGGCCAGCTACTCAGACCTCATTCCATCTCCTGTCTCATTCCTGCAGTCAGATTTGAAAGTGTCTTCAGGGCAAAGATCTCAGTATATCTTTGTATCCTCTGAGACTACTTAAAATATCACCCTCTCTTAATAGTAGCCCCTTGAATTTTGTAGTGTGCAGAAAGAGCCCCAAGTGTGCAAAGTCCTGGGTGAATGTGTGCTGTGACATGAACCAGGGCTTAGACCCATTGAGGAATGGCAAAGCCTTCCCCCTAGACTAAGGTTCAGAGGCATGATGAAGCCTTCCTCCTTCCTCGGTGACCAAGTGCAAATGTTGAGAGTGTGTGCGTAACATGTCCACCATAGCGCCTTCCCCTTTAGATGTTTACAGTCTGAAGACCGCTCCTCTACAAAGACTGCTCTGACCAAGATCCCCTAAACCTGTTCCTGTGGTCCAGCTGTATACCATAAACCCCACCTCCTTGTTTATATGTATGCAATAACCCTCTTCTCTGCTCAGCTCTATATAATAAACACGCTGAGCTCTGTAAACACATTTAGCTTCTGGAGTGCTGAGGTTTTTCCATCAGAGAGCCCACTCTGTCCAGTCCCCAGCTTTCCTGTCTGTGTGTCTTTTCTTCATTCCTTGCTGCCCCAGTCATTTCCATCCTTAGAGCCCTGCGTGGGCGGGACAGAACTTAATAATAATGTTACCACTTATTGTTACTAGGAAGAATATGTTAAGATTCTGGAGATAGCTGCTGGGTTCCGACCCTGGCCTTTTCCATTGCTAGTTGTGTGATCTCAGGCAAGTTATTTAACCTCAATGTCTCACTTTTGTCATCTGTAAAGAAGATTAATAAGACCATGTGGTTAACTGAGGTGTTTTGAGAGTGAAACAAGCTCATTCATTTAGAGTGCCATAAAATTCTTCCTTGTCATATGTCTATTTGATTTCTCTTAATTGTCAGAACAGTAGGGAAGCAAGCATGGTTACCATTTTGTAGAAAGAGGGAAGGGCTCTTAGGAGTACCATGATGCATCCTAGACCATTGAGCAGGGAGCGGAGTACAGCTTCCACCTCCACTTCCCTCTCACCCTTGACCCCTATGCCACCCAGCTCTGAGCACCAACTTCTGTGTCCCAGGCCTTCAATGTGATCAACGGGGGCTCTCATGCTGGAAACAAGCTGGCCATGCAGGAGTTCATGATTCTCCCGGTGGGAGCCAGCTCTTTCAAGGAAGCCATGCGCATTGGCGCCGAGGTCTACCATCACCTCAAGGGAGTCATCAAGGCCAAGTATGGGAAGGATGCCACCAATGTGGGCGATGAGGGTGGCTTTGCACCCAACATCCTGGAGAACAATGAGGGTCAGTGCTGAACATCCTGGGGGCATAGACTGCTTGAGTCCCCCTGAGGTGGGGGGAAAGAGAGGCTGCAGATGCAGGATACTGCAGTCTCAGGTCATTTCTTGTTCCTCTCCTAGCCCTGGAGCTGCTAAAGACAGCCATTCAGGCAGCTGGGTACCCAGACAAGGTGGTAATTGGCATGGATGTGGCAGCATCTGAATTCTATCGCAATGGGAAGTATGATCTGGATTTCAAGTCGCCTGATGATCCTGCGAGGCACATCAGTGGGGAGAAGCTTGGGGAGCTGTACAAGAACTTCATCAAGAACTATCCTGGTGAGATTTCCAGGTGCTTTTCCCCCTGCCTGTCTTCTGTGGTTACCAAACATAGGTTTTAGTATTTAGCTTTGTCACAATTCCAGACCTTTCCATCCTTAGCTCATTCATAGCCTCCATTTAACCTCTGCTAACCTGTCATCCCTCCATCAGGCCCCTGTCTCTAACCCCATCTATGCTTCCAACTCCCTACTAGTGGTCTCCATTGAAGACCCCTTTGACCAGGATGACTGGGCAACATGGACCTCATTCCTCTCTGGGGTGGACATCCAGATTGTGGGAGATGACCTTACAGTCACCAACCCCAAGAGGATCGCTCAGGCTGTTGAGAAGAAGGCCTGCAATTGCCTGCTACTGAAGGTCAACCAGATCGGCTCAGTGACGGAATCCATCCAGGCGTGAGTGCCTCTTGCCTCAGGTTCTCCACGGCCATCCTCAGCTCCAGCTCCAGCCACTGCTGCTGCCCTTGCCATGAGTGCCTTTCCTTGGGCACCTGGCCTACTCAAGCCGCTTAAACCCAAGGCTATGACCAACCCTCAGCTTGTTTCTAAGACTTCTGCCATTGTGGCTCTGTCATGTCCCTTAACCTCCCTTCTGTATTGTGTTCTTCTTGCCATCTTCTGACCACCCTACTTCAAGATCAGAAATCTCTCCTACTTCTCAAAGTACTTAGTCACTGCCCAAAACAAAGGAGAGTTCTACCTTGCCTATCCCTGGCTTTTTTATTGAGGTGGTCACATAAAGCCTCATCAAATGTCCTTCCCACACAGCTGTAAACTGGCACAGTCTAATGGCTGGGGAGTGATGGTGAGCCACCGCTCTGGGGAGACTGAAGACACTTTCATTGCTGACCTTGTGGTGGGACTCTGCACAGGACAGGTACTCAGGGTTTCCCTCTACTGAGTATCTAACCAAGTTTCCCTGATCACCTTGGTATCACTTGGGTCACCTAAGTTGGATACCACTACAGCTTGCTCTTTTGGGGCCCAAACTAACCCCTCCAAACCCTTTTCCCACCTTAGATCAAGACTGGTGCCCCCTGCCGTTCAGAGCGTCTGGCAAAATACAACCAGCTTATGAGGTATAGTTTGTACAGAGGAGTAGACAGTGGAGAGAGGAAGGCGCTCCTAGGTCAGAAGGCAGTAGCTCTGATTTTTTTTTTTTTTTTTTTGTATTGTAGGATTGAAGAGGCTCTTGGGGACAAAGCTGTCTTTGCTGGACGAAAGTTCCGTAATCCAAAGGCCAAGTGAGAAGCTGGAGACTCCAGGATTTCATAGGACAGACATGGGCCTTCAAGCCCTTCTCCCAGAAATAAACACTGCCAAACAAGACCATGGTGTGCTCCTTGGAGGGAAGGAGGGAATGGATGACAAGCTAGCCAGGAAGTACAGGGGGTAGACAGGTAGCAGGGACGAAGAATATCATGTGACCTGCTGTGACAAAGAAGTAAGGGATTTGAAAGCTCAGTGGATGTAGAACAGAGAATTTCAAAGTTTGGAATGAAGCTAGAGAAAGCAAAAACTGTCTGTGAAAAGGAGCTGGAGAGGAGTCAGTGGAAGGATGAAGCAGTTCCTGAGTAGGCAGCTGCGGATGGAGAGGGACCGAGGGTCCCGGTGCTCCCAGCATTCAAGGGATCTGGATCAGGCTGCAGCCAGACTGAGTGCTTCTCAAGGATTAAAGGATAATGAGATCGTTTACCACTTCAGTGAGCTTGTGAGGATCTGAAGTGTTCAAACACTTGACATTATAAACCTTGTAAGCTTTGAAACAGTCCTATCAGACATTTACTATTCTTATCCCTTTACACACCAGGAAACCAAGGCACAATGAGTTGAACATAACCTTATTCAACACAGCAGAGTTGGCAACTGGTATAGCCAGGACACAAAGCCTTAAAAATAATATATCTTAGCTGGGTGTGGTGGCTTAACATCTGTAATCTTAGGCTTGGGAGATGGAAATGGGATAGCATGTGTCAAGGCAGCCTGGGCTATACAGTAAAGCCTGTCTCAAAATTCCAAGCTTGGGGGACCTCAGTGGTTAGGGGCATTTGTTGCTCTTATAAGCACCAGGCTTCAGTTCCCAGCACTGACCTGGCAGGTCACCACTATTGGTAACTCCAGTTCTAGGGGCTCCAGTGCCCTCTTCTGAGCACCACGGGCACCGGGCATGCACATGGTGCAAATCCTTACATGCATATAAAACATCCATACACATACATCTAGAAAAAGAAACATCATGCTGGCTTAGTGATGATTGCCCAGTAGTCAAGAGGCCCCAAGTTCAATCTCTAGCACCACAAAAATAAAAAAATGTTAGGGTCACAGGAACAATGCTAATAATTGGCCATCTTTAGCTTAAACAAACAGCAACTTTATACTGTTCAATCTAATTATTTTCTCTGCCAATAGAGGTAATATACACAATTCTCTCTCCTCTCCTTCTCTTTCTCCCTGTCTCTCCTTTTTTTTTTTAAAACAAGGTTTCTCTGTATAGCCCTGGCTGTCCTGAAATTTTCTCTGTAGATCAGGTTGGCTTCAAACTCACAGAGATCTGCCTGCCTTTGCCTTCCAAGGGCTAGGATTAAAGGCGTGTGTCACCACTGGCTTAGTATCCACATTCTATGTTCAATGTACAAGTCAGAACATTGGGTCAAACAGTGTTTATTCAATGTAAAGTAACCTCAGGCCCATGGGGAAGAAAGTTCCAAGGGTAATAGAGAATAATACAGATTAAATACCCACTCACACATTTACACACGCACACACATAAACCAACCATACATCCAAATTCCAGCAGTGATAAAGACCTGCTTCTCCTCCAGCCTGAGTGGCAGCTGGCAAAACCTCATAGTTTAGAAATGGGACTCCAGGATGGGTCCTGATAGCAGCAGCCTTGTCCCTCCATGCCCCTGCCTTGCTGGAGGTCAAAGCAAGGTGGGTGGGATGCCTAGGAGGTAGTTGGCAACTCTTCCCCACTCTGCCGAAGACGTTTCTTGGCTCTGATCTCATTCATGGCCTCTTCTATGGAGCGTGTGTCCCGCTTGTTGGCCACAGGCACTGGCACCAGAGGGGAGAGTGGGCAAGATCTCAGTCTCTGCTCGCTCCCCTCCCCCAAACTATGTTCTTCCCCCATGCCTCCCCCAGCTCCTGCCATGGCTTACCACAGCCATAGGTCTTGTTGGCCTGCAGCATGTGGGCTGCATCTTTGGCTGCTCCTTTGCCAATAAGGTGGCTATATTTGTCCTTGTAGTCACTGGCAGGACTCACAACTGCAGGTCCCTGCTGAGCTGCCTCCTCCTCCTGCTTCTGAGCTAGCTCCTAAGGACACAGAGGTGGGTACCTGTACTCAAGGCCCTGACCCCAACTGGCCTCTTCCAGGTGATGGTTGTGGGCTCCAGGGCCTGCCAGGAACACCTCACCTTTAGTTTCCGCTTCTCCTCAGCCTTCTGGGGGTCCCACTCTTCTCCATGACGGTAGGAGTCTAGCTCTTCATCTGAGGGTGCAAACTCCTGCAGATGAAGAGAAAAACAGAGTCAAAGTCCAAATCTATGAGGGATGTCATTCCCCTCAGGTGCAGGGATAGGCTGAGAGGGAGGGAGGGGGTCCAGGCTTTTTACCTTTTTGAAGATCATGACATAGCGACAGTCATCATCTTCTCCAAAGGAGAAGGATGTGAGGCCAGCCACCTCTACCACATCATGTCTGCAAAGAGAAGGCAGAAGAGTACATGAGCCATGAGGAGTCCAGTCCATACTGGCTCGCTCATGTCCCTTTGTTGCTCATTCCTTGCCTCCCCAAGCCCAGAGACACTCACAGTATGCTCCTCTCTATCTTGTTCATAGGCTGAAACTTTTTCTTGATCTGTCCACTGTCCTGGATGAAATCAGACACTTCTTTCTCCATCTTAGGAGAAACAAAAGGAGGAGCACATGAGATGACTGCTCCACTCAATCTCCTGGGCCAATGGGTGGCCTGTTTACACCTCCCACCACTTCCCGGCTCTCAGGCCATGGGCTTTTAGTTCCACCATCTGGAGGCACTGTCAGTACAACCAACTCCTCAACCTTCCAACTCTTACTGCAAATCCTTCCAGAAGCTGCCTTTGATCTCTCCAGTTGTTCTCACCCTTTTACGAAACTCCACTTTTTGCTGTTTGTCTTGTTCTTGTAGTTTCTTCAGGCGAGCAGCCTGTTCTAGGGGCAAGAAAGGATCGCATGAGGCCAGGGCTGACGCATGTGTAGTGAGCTAGTCAGGTTAAAGGATGTCTGATAACCACTGGGAAGCACTGTGCTTTAACAGTAGGATTACTATTCATTCACCAAGTATTCCCTGATGTTTACTCTGTAACACAACCTGACACTGTGCTAAGATCCAGAGTACCAAGATGGCAGAAAAAAAGACTAGAATCACACACACCCAAGTTACTAACTCTACCACAGTCAATCAGCATTCACTTCATGCCCACAGTATACACTGACTACTGGGGAATGACTTATCTTTATATCTCTCTATATAAAATTATTATTTTGGAGACAGCATCTCAGTATACAGTCCTGGCTGGCCTGGAACTCATTATGTAGACAAGGCTAGACTCAAAATCAGGTTGTAAGGCACGAGGAGCAAGCCAGTAAGTAGCATGTCACTGCTTGAGTTCCTGCCTGACTTCCTTTGATGATGGACTATGATATGAAACTGTAAGCTGACATAAACCCTTGACTTCTCAAATTGCTTTTGGTCAAGTTGTGTTTTTTTGTTTTTGTTTTTGTTTTTTTTGGTTTTTTGAGACAGTTTCTCTGTGTAGCCCTGGCTGTCCTGGAACTCACTCTGTAGACCAGGCTGGCCTTAAACTCAGAAATCCGCCTGCCTCTGCCTCCCAAGTGCTGGGATTAAAGGCGTGCGCCACCACTGCTCAGCAAGGTCAAGTTGTGTTTCATCACAGTAGTAAAAACTCTAAGACAGAAATTGGTAACAGAGTGTGGTCTATTGTTGTGATAGGTTTGGCCATGTTGGGTTTGCTTGGGGGTGGGGCTGAAGAAGAAATTTGGAACTTTGGTCTAGAAAGCCCATTGAGTGCTTTCTCATAGCAACAGGAACCCCAAGACATCCTTTTCTCTGGGGGTACAAGTGTCCAAAGTTAGGCATAAATAAATTCTCCTCTCTTACTAAATGCTCCTCCCCTTTCTTAGATCCTGCCTTTGTACCAGATCATCTCCTCTGCCCTTGAGGGACAGATGCAACCCCAGGGAATATACCTAGACATGAGCTCTGGTACTGACCTGCAACCCCAACTATAAGCAGTACCTGACTGCCTGCCCTCCCTCCCTCCCCTCAGCTTTTAGAATTCCAGGCTGACCTAAAACTCACTATGGAGTCCACACTGGCCTCAGACTTAGAGATATGCTAGCCTAGGATTGATTGATATATTGAGGATTGAACCTAGGGCCTTCCACATGCTAAGTAAGTGTTTCACCACTGACTGAGAAACATTCCTAGGTTTCAGACTACCTTTTTCCCTTAGATTTATTTTTATTATCTTAATTATGGGTATGTGTATAAGTATGAATCCACGTGCCCACAGAGGTCTGAGGTGTCAGATTCCGCCCAGGAGCTGAGGTTACACACAGTTGTAAGCAACCTGATGTGGGTTCTGCAAATCTGACTCAGGTCCTCAGGAAGAGCAGTGTGTACTCTTAATCACTGAGCCATTTCTCCAGCTCACTCAGCTACTTTTAACCTGGTTCCTTATCCTGCCTGTCTTTTCCCACGGTAGGTGTTTGCTGCCTCTTGTGATTTGGGCATAGGCATCTTCTTCCTGTTCCTCAATTTCAAATGTCTCTTCCCCTGTCTTTTGGTAGTTCAAAATCCTAGGTCCACTTCTTCCACAGGACTGAGTCCCCAAAGTGGCACTGAACTCTTCCTACTACTTTCTAGTCACTCCATGCTTCTGCACATGTCTCTTCTCTCTGGAATGTTCTTCCTCATCTTGCAAACACTGAATCTTCACCATGAGTCAAGACTTCCGGTAGGCTCTAAGCACATTTACTGCTAAAGACGTGGGGTTTTTTTGTTTTGTTTTTGAATTTTGTCCCCTGGCCCCGGTCTCTTTTACCAGGCTATAAGCTGCTGGAGGGTTAACCCTGTTCACCTCCTGTCCAGTTAGACTTCAGAGTCCAAGGCCTGACAAACTAGAGGCTCTTGTCTGTCTGATTTCACTGTATTGGCCTTTCATTGTTTTCTAATTGCTTTTTCAGTCTTCTCTGTATCTTGGGAGGTAGCATAAGAACATTCAGGCTACGAAGTCACATCTGGGTTCCAAATTCAGCTTAGTA